ATAACTTTTCTTTATCAGCCCTCTCCACACCACTCATGATTTTATAGACCTCTATCATATCCCCCCTCAGTCTCCTCTTTTCTAAACTGAAAAGTCCCAGTCGCTTTAACCTCTCCTCATATGGGACCCGTTCCAAACCCCTAATCATTTTAGTTGCCCTTTTCTGAACCCTTTCCAAGGCCAAAATATCTTTTTTGAGGTGAGGAGACCACATCTGTACACAGTATTCAAGATGTGGGCGTACCATAGTTTTATACAGGGGCAGTAAGATATTCTGGGTCTTATTTTCTATCCCTTTCTTAATAATTCCTAGCATCCTATTTGCCTTTTTGACCGCCGCTGCACACTGTGTGGAAGTTTTCAGAGAACTGTCCACGATAACTCCAAGATCTCTTTCCTGATTTGTCGTAGCCAAATTAGCCCCCATCATACTGTACGTATAGTTGGGGTTATTTTTCCCGATGTGCATTACTTTACACTTATCCACATTAAATTTCATTTGCCATTTTGTTGCCCAATCACTCAGTTTGGTGAGATCTTCTTGGAGTCCCTCACAGTCTGCTTCTGTCTTGACTATCCTAAACAGTTTGGTATCATCTGCAAACTTTACTACCTCACTGCTTACCCCTTTCTCCAGATCATTTATGAATAAGTTGAAAAGGATTGGTCCCAGGACTGACCCTTGGGGTACACCACTAGTTACCCCTCTCCATTCTGAAAATTTACCATTTACTCCTGTCCTTTGTTTCCTGTCTTTTAACCAGTTCTCAATCCAAGAAAGGACCTTCCCTCTTATCCCATGGCCATGTAATTTACACAAGAGCTTTGGTGAGGGACCTTGTCAAAGGCTTTCTGAAAATCCAAGTATACTATATCTACTGGATCCCCCTTATCCGCATGCTTGTTAACGCCTTCAAAGAACTCTAATAGATTAGTAAGACAGGATTTCCCTTTACAGAAACGATGTTGACTTTTGTCCAACAAATTATGTTCTTCTACGTGCCTCACAATTTTATTCTACTATTGTTTCGACTAATTTGCCCAGTACTGAAGTTAGACTTACCAGTCTGTAATTGCCAGGATCGCCTCTAGAGCCCTTTTTAAATATTGGTGTCACGTTGGCTACCTTCCAGTCATTAGGTATGGAAGCCGATTTAAAGGATAGGTTACAAACTACCGATAATAGCTCAGCAATTTCCCATTTGAGTTCTTTTAGAACCCTTGGATGAATGCCATCCGGTCCCGGAGATTTGTTAACATTAAGTTTTTCTATTTGTTCCAAAACCTCCTCTAATGACACTTCAATCTGGGACAGTTCCTCAGATTCATCACCCACAAAGGATGGTGCAGATTTGGGAATCTCCCTAACGTCCTCAGCCATGAAGACTGAAGCAAAGAAATCATTTAGTTTCTCCACAATGGCTTTATCATCCTTGATTGCTCCTTTTATATCTCGATCGTCATGGGGACCCACAGGTTTTTTAGCAGGCTTCCTGCTTCTAATGTACTTAAAAAACATGTTATTTTTTTGAGTTTTTGGCTAGCTGTTCCTCAAAATCTTTTTTGGGGTTTTCTTCTTAGATTTTTACACTTGATTTGACAGTGTTTATGTTCCTTTCTATTTATCTCACTAGGATTGAACTTCCACTTCTTAAAAGATACCTTTTTGTCCCTCACTGCTTCTTTTACATGGTGGTTAAGCCACAGTGACTCTTTTTTAGGTCTCTTGGTATTTTTTTTAATTTGGGGTATACATTTAAGTTGAGCCTCTATTGTGGTGTCTTTGAAAAGTTTCCATGCAGCTTGCAGGGATTTGGCTCTTCCCTGAGCAACTTAAATTACACCAGTCTAAGTGCCAGTGTGCATACCACACTGTGCTTAAGGTATGTCTACACTACAATTAAATGCCCATGGTTTGTCTGTGCCAGGTTAAGGAGCAGTTTCATTGTGGTACAGATGTTCAGGTACTGGCAGAAGCCTGGCCTGGGGAACCCAATGAGGGGAAATGGTCCCATAGCTCAGGTTCCAGCCTGAGGCCATATTGTCTACAGTACCATTGAAAAGCTCTTAAGCCTGGCTTAGGTGGCATGGCCATTCAAAGGTTTTAAATTGCAGAGTATATAAATGTTAAACATTTATATAATTCTCAGTCCCAACACTGATACCCAACCTAATAATTAAACTCACTAAGAAAATATCCTCTAAGGACTTGCTGTCTCTCTTGAAATGCATGTTGGACCTCCTTGGTCTGGACCTCCAAGGCCCAGTACTGGAGGAGCTGTAAGCTCTTGCTGAGTCTCCTGGGCTGGAGAAGCATGCTCTCCTCTTTCTCTGCCCCCACCCATGCCCTTAGGGCCAGAAGAACTTTGTCCCCCCGCTAATTATTGGGATGTCCAATCGTACCATTTTCATATTGCACAGCTTTATCTTTCACTAATAAACTGATTACACTTGGCTATTTGTTCTCAAGTATTTTTAATATCAAACTGTAAATGCAGGCTACGCGTTAGTCAAACAGTCGCCTTTTTTGTTTAAGATGGCCATCATTCATGGCACTGCAACACTCATCTCAAGACTCATTCCCAGCAAATCCTCTGACTGTAAAAGGTGCCAGGAGGGAACTGAAGGCTGGGAATCAATCATAGAATCATAGAATACTAGGACTGGAAGGGACCTCGAGAGGTCATCGAGTCCAGGCCCCTGCCCTCATGGCAGGACCAAATACTGTCTAGGCCACCTCTGAAAGACATTTATCTAACCTACTCTTAAATATCTTCAGAGATGGAGATTCCACAACTTCCCTGGGAAATTTATTCCAGTGTTTGACCACCCTGACAGTTAGGAACTTTTTCCTAATGTCCAACCTAAAACTCCCTTGCTGCAGTTTAAGCCCATTGCTTCTTGTTCTATCCTCAGAGGCCAAGATGAACAAGTTTTCTCCCTCCTCCTTATGACACCCTTTCAGATACCTGAAAACTGCTATCATATCCCCCCTTAATCTTCTCTTTTCTAAACTAAACAAACCCACATTTTTCAACCTTCCTTCATAGGTCATGTTCTCTAGACCTTTAATCATTCTTGTTGCTCTTCTCTGGACCCTCTCCAATTTCTCCACATCTTTCTGGAAATGTGGTGCTCAGAACTGGACACAATACTCCAACTGAGGCTTAACTAGTGCAGGAAAGAGTTGAGTGTTGATATATTAGTAATTATTCATTAACTGTAAACTTTATAATTCCCTAAGCCCAACTGTCCCCCTCCCAGTAAGTCCCCCTTTGTTATATTGCTATTTTGAAGTGTGTCATTCCTTTGCTGGAGTTTGTGTTGATGTATTTGTGTTGTGTTGTGTTTCTTGTGTACTGGGCTCTATATTGTGTATCAGCATTATTGTAGCATTATCTGTTTTCCTAAGAGGCAGTTGCTTTTGTGCCTCTGGCAGTGAAGAGTAATCTTGAATGGAGGCACCAGGCATTTAAAAAAAAATCTTCTCTGCCCTCTGGAGCTGGCAATAGCCCATGGGAACGCTCTGCATGTACTCCAACTGCAGTTTCTGTGTTAGACGTGTCTATCCTGAATGGTGGAGGTATAAGCCAAAGTAGCTTTGAAGAGCTGTGATGGTGAAATGAGAAGATCTGAACATTCCTCCCTCTTCCCATGCATACTGTAAACGGGAAGAGATCCACAGGGACCTTGAGGTTCCAATCTGCATTATTTCAGTACAGCTGACTCCTGCTGCTGTTCCCCACCAATTTCCCACTCAGCCCCTCCCCTCCCCGCCAGGTAATTTCCCAGACTTCCCTGAAACCTGTCCATCGGATGGTTGTCTCCAATGATGGAGATTCTGCAACCTCCCTAGGCAATTTGTTTCCAGTTTTTAAGCACCTTGACAGGGAGTTTTTCCTAATCATTAGAGGCCATGGAGAACAATTTTTCTCCCTCCTCCTAGTAACACCCTTTTAAAACTGCTATCATGGCCCCTCTCAGTCTTCTCTTTTCCAAACTAAACAAGTACAATTCTTTCAGTCTTCCCTCAAAGGTCATGTTTTCTAGACCTTTAATCATTCTTGTTGCTCTTCTCTGTACCTTCTCCAATTTCTCCACATCCTTCTTGAAATGTGGTGCCCAGAACTCAACACAATACTCCAGCTGGGGCCTAATCAGCACAGAGTAGAGAGGAAGAATAACTTCTCGTGTCTTGCTCACAAAACTCCTGTTAATGAATCCCAGAATCATGTTTGCTTTTTTTGCAACAGTGTCACACATTAGGAAAAACTTCTTAACTGTCAAATTGGTTAAACACTGGAATTGCCTAGGGAGGTTGCAGAGTCTCCATCATTGGAGACATTTAAGACCAGGTTAGATAGACATCTATCAGGTATAATTTAGATGGTGTTTAGTCCTGCTGTGAGGGTAGGGGACTGGACTTGACAATCTCTGAAGGTCCCTTCCAGTTCTGGCTTTCTATGATCTATGGTTGAGGCAGCTGCTATGGGGTCTGAGGTGGCTGCCCTGCCCATCCTATGGATGCGATAGCTCTGAGCATGAGCTCTGGGAGTTTAGGTGCAGGAGGGGATAACAGGTGGAGCTCTGGGGCAAAGGTTCTGGGAGGGAGTTTGGGTACAGATGGGGGATCTGGGGTGCTGGCTAGGGGAGAGAGTTTGAGGGCTGGACAGGAGGTGAGGGGACAGTGTGTAGGTTCTGAAGAGAGTAGAGTGCACAAGAGAGAGGGAGGGGTGCCACACTTACCTGAGACCCCCACCCGGCAATGGCTCCTGGAGAGGCAGGGGTCTCCAGGCACTGCTGCCCCTCCATTTCCCCAGCCTCCCTGGCATCCTGCATGTCCTCCAGGCTCCCCCACTAGCAGTGCAGTGCAGAGTGGCTTCTGGACAGCATGTGCAGCCCTGCAGCTGAGGCTGGGGATAGTGTCTCTGTGTGCTGCTCCAACTGCTAGATCAGCTCATGTCATGGAGATCCTGGGATGCACATGCTGGCAGCTGGGATAAGCGAATGCTGTGGTTAGATAGTAATAGAAAAACCTAACTTCTACATAGTGCTTTGTATCAGTAGTTCTCAAAGAACTTTAAATCATTATCCCTATTTTACTGATGAGGTACAGAGCAGTAAAGTGACTTTTCCCAAAGTCATCCAGCAAATGAGTGACAGAGTTTGGAATAGGACCAGCCTCACAAAGGCCACATGGTTACTATACGATTCCTCAACTTCTTCTCTACTCCCCTCTCGTCCTCCCGACACCCTCTTGTACATTTATTTAAAAAACCAGGGAGGCTTAAAATGTTGATTTAATTGCCACATACAGCTTATAAAAACATTCTTACTCCACCTATATAGCTACTGATGATTGTAAGATAGCTACTTTCAAACTATAGGGCTTTCTCCAGTATCTACACATCAAAGTAATATTCTGGAGTCATAAGATACTATCTATGTTATATATTGTTCCAATATGCTTTGAAGTGCAGAGGTGCAAGTTAAAACTTTGCTTTATATTTTCCCCTCCTTCAAATGTTAGACTTGCTTTGACATTTATTTAAAAAATATTTTGTGCATTCATGCAAGGCAGTTTTTAGAATATCTGAGAAAATTGGAAAGAAAGAAATCTACATTCCAGATGTTATTTTAAAAAACAAATTCCTATAAATAATATTTCTAAGTACTCAATCTAAGCTAGGGCATAATCAAACTGGCCTTTCTCTAGCCCATCAAGTCCATCAGCCCAGGTTGAGGTTGGCATACTCCTGTAAGGGTCTAAGAGAATTCGGAAGCATCGGACAATGAGGATGCCTAAGAAAATAAATAATAATATCACAAAGACAAATGTGGTTTTCTGTTCCAGGGTCAAGCTACCATCTGGCAGAACATTCCCGGATGGCAACAAAGTAGAGGTGAATGGTTCTTCTTCCATTGTCCAGGGAAGCGGATAGGAGTAATCCCAAAGTTTCCTTATTTTCATCATCAATTTGCTGAGTCAAGAGTAGAAGTCACTTAGATATGCTTGTGTTATCTGTAGGGGAAGGGAAAAAATGTTAGCTGTGGATGTGCCTTATTCTGTTGTGTGGACTCATCTGAACAGAGCAGGCACAAGGGAAAGAACATGATAGTTTTCTCCATTCCACTGTTATTATTTAGTGAACATGTTTATTAGTTTTATAATATGAGAGACTTAATATTAATCATAAATGCCCTGAACAGACATCTTGGCCATATGATGGCCAAGTACTGGGCTTAAATGCGATTGCATCTACTTTGAGGAGTAGTATCCTGATTATGTACCATTTAGATTGGTGCAAAATTTTCTTTTTCTGAAAGGGGAAGTGACAGGGATTCAATCTTACTACTCAGAGAACACTGCTAAAAGATAAGCTAAGACAGGACAGTTGTGAAGGAGATTGTGTGTCATTCCGCCGGAAAGAAAAGTGCCATTATTACACCAGCAGTTTGGAGGAGCAGGGTCAGAAGATCTTTTTCAATGTCTTTCATACATAATCATCCCAAATGCAGGTAGATGACGCAATCTGGGATCTCTTACATACGACTGAAATGCAGACACCACTGAGGTGAAAGCTGGCAGCAATTCTGTCTCAACAGCACAACAAGGAATTTAGAAAAGACAAAGAGAACAGCTTCTCCATTTGAAACAAAAGGAATTTTAGGGAGACAGACTGAAATCATTAAAATGTATCTCATTATATTACAGTTAATACCCTTACCTCATGCTGAAATGCAACCTGTGGTCATTTAATAAATATCATGAATCAGGAGCTAGGTTTCACATTTCACAGCATGCCATAGCACTGTGTAGCATCATCATGTCAGTACTGACTTAAGGCCAGATCATGCCATCCTTACATGTGGTCCCACTGAAATCAATGAGTAAAGTGAAGTATACTCAAACTGGTGCCCAAATGTGGCCATAAGAAAGTCCATTACCAAAACCACACATCAGCACTATCTACAGTTCTCACATTTTTCTTAATCTCACCTCTATCTAGGTTGTGAGGAGGTTATCCGTGCTTGTTAGGGGCAACTGGTGCCTGCGGGGAGATGGGGTGCAGGGAGGGCCAACAAGAGAGGCAGAGAGGGCAATAGTGGGAGCATCCCATTTAGCAATTAAAATTTTGGCAGAGGCACAGGGCGGTGGTGCCTCTACTGAGTGATACCATGAGTCACCCTATGCTACTTGTCCCCAGTTCAGCCCAGTAGGCTACAAACTGAACACTTTGTGTAAATGGTTAGAAAAGAAACTACTACTAAATAAAATCAAACCTGGGAAAGGAGGAAGGACACAAACTGTGAAAATAAACATTTACGCTGCCATTTAAATCCATTGAGAATTAGCTATAATTTACTCACTTTAGTTATCACTGGCATGCACATGTCAATAACAACAATTATCACAATGTGGTATTGAGAAAATACAGGTAGATAATTACACATAAAACTTAACTTAAAAACGACACTCACTTCAGATAAAACTATGGAAGAGGTAATAGGAGAACAAATTTCAAAGATGTACAGTTATCAATGCCTGATCCAATGTTTAACTGAAATGATAGAGCGATATAAATTGTGTATTTCAAATCCTTTGAAAGTATGCTCCAGCTACCAGTTGATGAAAAATTCACAAGACTGGCTAATAAAAAGAACTGTGACCTCGCGATCAAACAGCTTAATGAAAGTGTCAGATCTTAGATGATACATGAAGGAGGAATTGTAAGTAAAGTCTGATGATAAATCTTGTTATAACAACACAGAAATTGAAACACAGGATTGCTGCAATGTTGCTATAATGAAGGCTGAAGACAAACCATTGCTACAAAAACAAAACAAAGCAAACCTTCATTTTAGTCACCAAATCTTTGAATCAGCAAGCACTTCAGCGCATGCCTAAGTCTCATATGACAAAGACTTCAGCATGGAAGTTAACGGCAAGCTTAAATTCTTTGTTGAATTGAAACTGAAAATCACTCCTAAAATTACCTTTTTGTCATGCTTACTTTGAGCACAGATACAAATATTTACATTACATTTACAATAATGTATACTCGTTTAACTACAGGCTATGGATTTTGGGAATGACAGGAAATGGAAAGTTTTCACCAGTCAAAGTTAGATTTCTACTGTGCCCAAAAAAACCCTTATTTTAAGTTACACTAAAGCACAAATACTTTGCATTCTTTGAAGAAACCTACTTTTAAAATAATTTGAATTATTAAAGATTGTGCGCTAACTACTTTCCTTATGGATTGAACAAGCACTAAACATGGGGGCTACATCTACACTGGCCCGGAAGGGGCATGTAAATTTCACCAGTCAGCATGTAATTCGAACTAGGAGGGTAATGTAGGCATACCGCACTTGCAAATGAAGCCCGGGATTTGAATTTCCCGGGCTTCATGTGCATAAACCGGGCGCCGCCATTTTTAAATCCCATTCCTACTTCAAAGACTAGGCTTCAAAGTAGGAATAAGAGCCTCCGGAAAAGGGCACTTTTTCCGGAGGATCGGGGCCAGTCTAGACGCTCTTTTCCGGCTTTTTTAAAAGCCGGAAAAAACCAGCGGACATTTTTATTTAAATGCCGCGGGGGATATTTAAATCCCCCGCGGATTTCCCTACGACGACTGCTGAAATTTACATGCCCCTTCCGGAAAAGGGGCCAGTGTAGACGAGCCCGGGGTGTATGCAGAACAACAGCAGGGACAGAGACTTGAATGGCAATCATTCACATAGCCAGAATTGGTTTTAGCTGATTTTACATAACTGAGGTGTGAAGTATGCTTTGGACTTGACAGCCTTTCAGAACCAGACAGCTAGGGATCCTGCTGCAACTACATGCACCCACACCCACATTATGTACCATTTAGATTGGTGCAGAATTTGTTTTTCTTAAAGGGGAAGTGACAGGGATCCACTCATACTACTCAAAGAACACTGCTGAAAGATAAGCTAAGAAAGGACAATTGTGAAGAAGATTGTGTCTCATTCCACCTGAAAGAGAAGTGCCATTATTACACCAGCAGTTTTGGAGGAGCAGGGGCAGGACAGAACACACACACACACACACCACAAAAAAACACACACACACACACACACACACACACACACACACACACACACACACACACACACACACACACACACACACACACACCACAAAAAACCAGTGATGGCTACTTATCGGGCATAAGTCTTCCCAACACTTAACCAAGCTTGTAAGCTTTTTGGAGCACAAAAGATCTCTTTTAGGTTTGTATCCTCGCTAGCACAATGGGGTTCTAATCGTAACTGTGGCCACTGTAATAAAACTAAATGATAAATCCAACAACCAAAGATTGCTAAAATGACAGCACATCATTCACAAAACTCACCTTTCTGAAAGGCAGGAAATGACTCCTTGAGGACCTTTGAGGTTTTATATTGTCCATATAGCAAACAAACATGTAGGGACAGATTCTCAGCTCCCAGTCCAGTTCCTTTGCATAATTCTTGAGCAAGTATGGCTTAATTCCCTTTGGCTATGTCTACACTACCCTCCTAATTCGAACTAGGAGGGTAATGTAGGCATACCGCACTTGCAAATGAAGCCCGGGATTTGAATTTCCCGGGCTTCATGTGCATAAACCGGGCGCCGCCATTTTTAAATCCCGGCTAGTTCGAACCCCGTGCCGTGCGGCTACACGCAGCATGGAGTAACTAGTTCAGATTAGGCTTCCTAATCTGAACTAGCTGTACTCCTCATTCCACGAGGAGTACAGCTAGTTCGGATTAGGAAGCCTAATCCGAACTAGCTACTCCATGCCGCGTGTAGCCGCGCGGCACGGGGTTCGAACTAGCCGGGATTTAAAAATGGCGGCGCCCGGTTTATGCAAATGAAGCCCGGGAAATTCAAATCCCAGGCTTCATTTGCAAGTGCGGTATGCCTACATTACCCTGCTAGTTCGAACTAGCGGGGTAGTGTAGACATACCCTTTGTGTAGGAATCCCTGGATCTCAAAAAGAGTTGGCTCAGCAATACCAGCAGCTTTCTTCAGTACTCTGACAGTGTGATTCCATTGGAGCTGTACCAGGAACTTCTCATGGCAACAGCTTCCCTCCAGTTTAGGCAGCTACAGGAAAATGCTAATACAACCTCAGGCTGTACTATCTTCTCTGGGAAACACCTGTGGGTCCATCCTATCCACACACTGCCCACTTCTCCTCTAACCTGCATCTCCTTTCCCAGTATACATCCTAGATTTATGGGGAGACCTTTTTGGGGTCTGGGAAATGGAAGGTGTGATGCCACAGAAGGAGTTCTGGGGAGATCTGTGCACAAAGGATCCCATTCATGTACAGATTTCACAGGGGTGATTTTACCTTATACGGAAAGTTCCTTGGAGCATAGCCTTTCTGTTTGTTGGCATAGCCCAGAGCACAACCAGGCCTTGATCCTGACTAAGTGTTTTGTGAGATATCACAATACAAATGATATTATCATCTCCATTTCAGAGACTGAGAAATGTAAGCCAAGAGTGATCAAGTGACTTGCCAAAAGGATCACAGGAGGCAGAGCGGCAAAATCAGGGATCAGAGCCAGAGTTAAGTTGCGAGATCATTCTTTCAATCCTCATTACTTCTCACCTTCTTGTCTACGCAGTGCTTTATGAAATATTGATGCTAATGATGTGAAATTCAAAAAATAATATTGCATATGTATAAACAAATTGACCCAGATAACTTTCTGTGATGCCTATAATGTAACTGCTAAAGTGGCAGCAGTCAGATGATCAAAAAAAAGAATAGGACTAAGGTGATCTGACTGTACGCCTCATTTTATGAGCAATAAGGGGCTTCTGAAAGAAGGTTTTTTTCCAACATTTGGCCCTGTGTAGATGAGCCAAATATCGGAAAATCCTCTTCCAGAAAAAACAGAAGAGGATATGCAAATGAGCACCCTATTTCCATACCTTCTTCGAAAAATAAAACACAGTATAGCTGTACCCTCTTCATGGGAATGTAGTTACT